CGCATTGACACTACCTTGCATGCTTATGAGTTTTCCCATAACATGTGGAATAAAACTTTTTTTTTCTTATGGTGGAATGAGAAATCTGAACCTAGAATGTTAGAAACAAAACAGTTATCAGAATGTTCATCAGAATTACCCGGTTTGAATGCTGAATATCACTTTACATGTTATTAAATGGTCACAATAAAAGTACCAACAAAAGTGGCCTCTTCTATTGTATGGGGTAGTTTATTAAATGAAATTAACTCATATTCATTAAAAAGAAGAAGCTCTTATTAGAGCTATTTTTGTGTGTATTAAAACACTAGTTAGCTTTGGGAGAAAAGATTCCATAGACTTTCTCACTACTTTTAAAAGAGGTTACATTCTTGTACTAAATTCAGGAATCTTTAATATATATGGTTATTTAAATTCATTTGAATATTTACAATGACAAAACAAATTGACTTCTTCAAAAGTCTGCTATCGTTTTCGTTATTAATTAGTCACAGTTAGAATAAAGTTTTCTTACATTAAACTAAAGTCTATTGCTTTATTTTTCCTAGCTTAGCTTTAGGACAACATCAAACAACTGTGTTGACATCCTGAAGTATACCTCATCACTAAAGGAGAGCTGTTCTAACTCAAATTCTCTCTCTTTTTTTTTTTTTAAGAAAGCAGGATTTATTGAGAAGACAGGAAAGTTCCCATAGTGGGACAGGACCCGAGGAGGTTGCCTCTAACCCAAATTCTTTTTGTCTATGTTCTAATCTCCAGTCTCATAGAATACCATTAATGATTAATAGAAGTTTTCTGGCTTACTTTGACCTTTTGAACCTGTCACAATATCCAACCTTGTAAACTAATCAATACATTTCAGAAAATGTTCTAGATCAGTACATTCTCAGACATAACAGACATTGCCATGAGTGACTTTTAGTATTTCACTGACCGTTAGCCTTATCAACCCTATCACCTTGTTCTGGTTTCCAGGATAATTTCAGACTCAAACATGTGGATTCTTTTCCACTTTCATGTGATTTTGATGGTATTTGAGTTAAGAAAGTTAACATCTTTGTCTCATAATTCCCAGCTCTGAATTTTCTCATGTCAGAAAAAGATTTTGGGGTGTCTACATAAAAAATATGTGGTACAGAAGCTTCTTCTATAGGCAACTTTTATCATTAATCTTTTTTAAAAAGAAACAACAAAAAAAAACAAACAAACAACTCTCTCCAGCTTGTATCCAGCCACCTTCGTCTCCACTCCAAACCATAATACAAAAATCTTTACCTGGGTATATGTTGAGTCAGTCTTCCACAGAACTATAACTATTAGAGAAATTAGGCCATCTTTGGGGTATAACACATGGCAGCAGTTACAATTATATCACCTGAGATGACTTTTGTATTATTTAAAGTCAGAAGGATACATTTCTAAAAGTTATAGCCGGCCGGGTGTGGTTGCTCATGCCTGTAATCCCAGCACTTTGTGGGGGACCTAAGGCAGACATTGCTTGAGCCTTGGAGTCCAGACCAGCCTGGGCAACACAGCAAGATCTTGTCTCTAAAAACAAAAATGCAACATAAAAAAATTAGCCAAGCATGGTGGCATGCACCTATTGTGCCAGCTACTCAAGATGCTGAGGTAGAAGGATCACCTGAGCTCAGGAGGTCAAGGCTGCTGTGAGCCATGAACATGCCACTGCACTCCAGTCAGTGTGACAGAGTGAGACCCTGACTCAAAAACAACAACAACAACAACAACAACAACAAAAGTCAAAGCTACTTGGAAGAGTCTAGGCCATTTTTATGCTTCTTACATTTTTTCAGAAGATATAGCATCCCAGGATATTAGAAAATTTCCTGGAATTCTTTGAATAAATAATGAAGCAGAGAACAACACTGACTGACTTTGGTGTGTCCACCCTATTACATGCATAATAGGCACAATAGGTATGTTGAACAAACAGGTCTTGCCATCAGTAAAGAACTCCTCTCCCCCTGTGGAAATGAGCTTTCCTCCAGCATTGTGTGTGGACTCAAGGGCAGATCCCATGATTTTTCTGTACCCTCTCAAGTAACAAGCTTCTCTGGTTCATTTGAAACCTGAAATAGCAACCTCATTCCAGTTATGAGAATGTCTGGTTGTATTTAACAGTCAAAAATGTATAAACTCATTGAAAAGTGAAGCTACTCCCCCAATGAGGCCCTTTTCAGTCCTGTCATCTGTGGGAAATAAGGACGGAACACTTGCCACTTGCCTCTTTTTCTCTTCCTGCTCTTCTTTTCTCCTTCTTCCCACCCTAGGCTGCCACTAGCTCTTCCAGGGCTAACACAGTGGAAGGGAGAACCTAGCAGGGGAAATAGCAGCAGGTAAACTCAACTCGATGGGCAGAAAATTCAGTGAGAAGCTTGGTGAGTTAGGATAGTCTCCTCTGGTTATGGAGACATTCAAGACCGCCATTTTCTCTTAGTAGGTTCTCTGGCAATCTCTCTCCCATCATTCCTGGAGATCTCTCACATCTAGCTGGTACTTTAAGACACCCCTTCGGGACACTGATATTCAAATTGTCTTCCTCTGTGCAGAGATGTCGCACCATTGGCTGCCCCCTGCCTTGTAGATAGCCTTCTGGTTAGTGGGGAGATATTTAAGCCAGCTCCTGGTCAGCTTGTTCTCCTGCTTGATCTACATGAAATCTACTGGCCACACCACAGCTTCCTACTCAGTTCTCTCTTTTGTTCTCCATGCCATGTAGCCATCCCCTTATCCTATAGATTTCTCCAGCCTGAATCAGAAAACTGTACACGGCCTCCCTGATTCCAAGAGTCACCTATCAAAACCCCAGTGATTCTCTTGAAGCCGCTGTCACTATGCTTGAAATGAGAGGAAACAGACTCCAGAATCCCCCAGACTCACCACACTAACTTCCTCCAAAAAATACTTTGCCTAATTTCCCCCTTTTCCCCAGCAAATCCCTTGCCTTCCCTTAGAGAACCGGAAGGTGGGCAATGCAATATGGTTGGCAGCACCAACTCTTAAATATTCCTTTAAAGTCCTGCATTAGTGGTGATGGCCCCTCACTTTGGAATGAAGACACATTTCAACTTATGTTTTTTGTTGTTGTTGTTCTTTTTTCTTACCAAGCCTTAGGTAAGACTGAGACAATGAAAGTAGAAAGGGAAAGAAACAAGGATAGGAAAGATAAAAAAAGTCCCATTTGGATATTATTGTAAAGATGGTATCTAAGAAAATGACTACGTAACAATAGGTTCCGACTCACTCGTTGATGTATCTCACTTTACTCACCTACTTTCTTTTTTTTAACTTTTAATTTTTTTTTGTTTAAAGATGTTGGGTACAATTCAGGGTTAGGTATACAAATGTTCATTATGTAGGTACCATTCCCCAGGCAGACTCCCACTACTGCCAATCCCACTTCCCCACCTCTCTCGCAGCAGCTTCCTGCTACTGCCGATGCTTTTCTTATAGAATTACAATTATGCCAGGCTCAGTGGCTCAGCCTGTAATCCCGCGCCTTTGGGAGGCTGAGATGAGTGGATTGCCTGAGCCCGCGGGTTCGAGACCCGCCTGGGCAGCGAGACCTCATCTCTACAGTAAATCAAAAAATCAGCCGGGTGTGGTAGTGCATGCCTGTAATTCCGGCTACTCGGAAGGCTGAGGTGGAAGGATCACTGGAGCCCGGCAGGTCGAGGCTGCGGTGGCCGGGAGCGGCCACTGCACTCCAGTCTGGGCGACAGAGTGAGACTCCAACTAAAAAAAAAAAAGAATTACAATTATGATCATTGTTCAAGGTCCACTTGTGAGTGAGAACATGTGATACTCTTCTTTGCTTCTGTGAAATGTCACTCGGTATTATAGACTCTAAGTCCATTCAGGTTGCTGTGAAGTTCATGATTTTGTTCTTCTTTATGGCTGTGTAATATTCCATCATGTATATATGCACCACATTTTTTAAATCCAATACTTTTTGATGGGCAGCACAGTTGGTTCCATATTCTTGCTACTGTGAACAATGCTGTGATAAACATAATGTGTGCAGGTATCTTTTTTATAGAGTGATTTGAGCTCTTCCAGGTATATTCCCAGGGATATATGGAAGGGGTCGTATGGAAGGTTGATTTTTAGATCTTTTAGGAGTTACCACACTGTTTTCCACAGAAGCTGTACTAGCTTACACCACCACCAATAATGTAGAAGTGTTCTCTTTTGGCCACATCCTCTCCCGCATTTGTTGTTTTTTGAGTTATTGATGATAGCCATCCTGACTGGAATTAAGTGATATCTCAGTGTAGTTTTAATTTGCATTTCTTTGATGACTGGTGAGGCTGAGCATTTTTTCATGTATCTATTGGCTGCTCATATGTCTTCTTTTGAAAACTGTCTATTCATATCATTTGTTCACTTTGTAATGGGGCTATTTGTTTTTTTTCTTTTCAGCACGTTTGAGTTCCTTATAGATCCTAGATGTTAGGCCTTTGTCAGACATACAGTTGGCAAATATTTTTTCCCAGTCTGTGGGCTGTTTCCCTGTTCTCTTGATGGATTCTTTGGCTTTGCAGAAGCTTGTCAGTTTGATGAGGTCCCTCTTGTCTATCTGATCTCTTATGGCATGGGCACTTGGGGTTTTGATCAGGAATTGGTTGCCAGTTCCAATTTCCATACGGGTGTCTCCTGCATTTTCTAAGGTTCTTATAGTTTGAAGTTTTACATTTAGGTCTTTGATACATTTAGAGTTGATTTTTGTGTATGGCACTCACCTACTTTCAGTAATATGCCTTTTTTTTACTGCCTGTTAAAAAATAACAACATGCCATAAAATTGTGGCCTATTGTGAGAAAACATCTAGAAAGTCACTCCCAAAATGAAACTGAATGTAGATATTGAGAAAGCGCTACTTTTACCATAGACTATGTGAAGGATCACTTTAAACATGTACATTTAATGTAATATTCATTAAAAGGAAAAAGAAAATTTTTTCTATTTCTCCTTCCTAGGTCGAGATTATGAAAAGGATAAGGTCTGCAAGGAATTCACCAATCTGGGAAAGGATGACTTTACATCTTTGTAAGTAGACAGCAACTACTCCCTCTCTTGGTTATTTGACTTTGAACAAAACTGAGTGTGAGGTAACTTCAATTCAGCATGGTGAGTTAAACTGATCTTTGCTAAAATTAAGAGAAAAAAACCCCAGAGTCAATGTAGGAAAAAATATCAGGGCAATGGAGGACATCCAAAGACTCCAGCTGAATTGCGGTTACTAGAATCTAGGAATGTGTCACCAGTAAGCTTGTGAATGGATTAAAGGAGAACATATGAGCATAGTCTTCTAAGGTAAATTAAAGTGCAAAAGTACATACATTCTAGGGCTCTAGCAAACAAAGGCATTGAGGCACAGAGTGGGTTCACTAGGGGAGGCTTGAGATAGCACCAGACTGATTTGATGGAATCTTCAGGTCCTGTTTCTACTTCTTTACAGGATGAATTTGCCTAGAAAATAATCTGCTTTTTTACGAGTAAATAAAACCTCAATTTTTAAAAATTAGCCCGATAGAATAGAAAGTGTGTACAATAATCCATTTAGGTATTGAACAGAATTCATATTTTCATGGACCAATCTGTGAAAACAGTTGCAATTCTAATTAAGAAATTGACTTATTTTCCCCCTCAGGTCACTAGTCCAATATAGCAGAAAATTTCCCAGTGGCACATTTGAACAAGTCAGTCAGCTTGTGAATGAAGTTGTCTCCTTGACAGAAACCTGCTGTGCAGAAGGGGCTGACCCTGACTGCTACGACACCAGGGTAGGTCTGTGTTGCTGGCCAGCTCTATGGTGGCCCAAAGAAGGAAGCCAAAACGGGCCATCACATCATGTCTTAGGGAAATTGTAGACAGTAACTCTACCTACTCCTAGTTTGGGAGAAATAGGAAAACTGTTATCTTTAGAGCCCAGGTTTATTTTAACATAATGGGTCAATTTTATCCATTATTCCTACAAGGTTCACATGAGAAAACTGGGTCATAAAGTAACTTAATGATTTACTAAATATATATTCTCGTAAGAAATGGGTATAAGATATAAATCCAGATCTGACTCTAAAACCGGAGTTTGCTATCACTATAAATTTGAGCATCTCAAATACTGACTCATAAATCTCTTGTAATAATCCTGCATAGCTTAAAATACTGCTCATACTGTTATCATTATGCCAGGACAGGTAGCAACTGCCACAGAATAATTTAGTGTTGGTTTCAAATTTTTAGTGTTCAAAAGCTGCCCTACATATATATATATATATATACACTAAGTTCTGGGGATTTTTCCTGTATAGTATTTATGTGGAAATTAAAATGCAAGGTTCAAAATATAGACAGTAGCTGAAAAAGGTAAAATCTCCAGAGTTTCAGCTATGTTTTAATGCAATCAACTGGTGTGATACAAGTGACATTTGGAAGCATTTGAATTTTAAGCATGTAGCCATCTACTGAAAAATCTGTCTCACTACTTAGGCTTGCAGCAATTATTGTGTAGAAACAATGTTATGAAGATCTGATTCAATTGGGTTCTATCCAGTGAGTATCATTAACCATTAATTGTTTTATCTGGCCCTTATCTACTTTCCAATAATTTTATAATCAATTTCTTCCACCACCAAGTTCATAAGTACACATCATATCAACCTGAACTTCTACACCACCTAAACTAAGCAAGCATCAAACTATATCAGGGTCTAAATAACAGAGCACATTTTTTAAAATGTCATCTATTTGCTATTCCATTCCTTGACCAAAGTTATGATCTGTCTCTAAAATCCTAGAAAACAGAGAACAGAGATGGCATTGGTATTTATAAGGATAATAATGTCAAAGTACTTTTTTCCATATAAATCCCAAAGTAATGTTTTCCCTGATGACTATTTCTTTTTTTTCCCCCCTTTATGGCGACTACTTTTATTCTACATTTTTTTCAAATATCAAATTCTTTCCATTTTTTTTCAAATATCAAATTCTTTCCAAAAGTAACATTTTGATGCTACAATTGCCTTGATGGTGTTTAGTCTTCCCACAAGTATCATGTGTCAGTGTTGAAGCCATCAAGGTGCACCAGTGGTTTTCAATCCATGCTGTATTTGAGAATAAATGTTGAGGCTTTAGGAGAAGCAGGTTTTCAGGCCCATCTTTGATCTACTGAATCAGAATTTCTGGGTTGCACAGTCTAAGCATTTCTTATTTTTAAGTACTCCAAGAGAAATCCTCATGCAAAAGCAGTCTCAAAAACCATTAGATATGAGAATGCAAACAATGTATAATACAAAAGGAGTCGGGAATCAAGAGTCTGCTCATCTAACATAGGAAGGAGAGGAGGGCAGAGGGAGATCCTCATTCTTAATGGGGCATTTTAGCAGAAAGCAGGTGGGAGATGATATCAGAATCACCAGAGGAGCTTTTTCAAATGACTTTCTCCTCCTCAGAGATGCTAATATCCCTATGGAGGAACATGGGTCTAGAGAATAAAATTCTAATGACTCTACTCAGATAAAAACTGTCCATTCATTAATAAAAATTATGTTTGTATTCAATTTATTAACGTAAATAAGACCCTATACTTACCTATAATAATACAACTTGTCATGTTGACAAACCTTCTTATGGAGACTTTGGCATAAACAATTGCTTGCTAATGAGAAATTTTAAATTGTAGATGAAGATGTTATACTGAATGGAGGACTCTGAGCTGGGAAATATGCACATATACGTGTTTCCTTTGTTCTTCTCTTATTCCAGACATCAGCACTGTCTGCCAAGTCCTGTGAAAATGACTCTCCATTCCCAGTTCACCCAGGCACTGCTGAGTGCTGTACCAAAGAGGGCCTTGAAAAGAAACTATGTATGGCTGCCCTGAAGCACAGACCCCAAGAATTTCCAACTTATGTGGAGCCAACAAATGATGAAATCTGTGAGGCATTCAGGAAAAGTCCAAAGGGATTTGCTGACCAGTAAGCTGCTTTCATCATAAATAGAACTTTAGGCATAAGACATCAGAAATGAGTCTAATCTAACCCTCTACTCTGTGCAAACATCTCCTTCTACAGCAACCTAGACAATTTCCTATTATAGGAACTTGACTGTCACCCAAGCTGGCCCATCTTCCTCTTGGTGTTGATTTTTGTAAGTGCCTTTCTCAGAGATGCATTCAACTTTCCCAAAGTTCTACCCTCTAGTCCTAGTTTTGTTATAAAAAGAAGACTCATGGGTCTCTTGTCCACAGGACATATTTTAAATATTTGTAGCACTTCCTGTGATTCCTCTCATGCTAGGGATCCTTGCATACACAAGATAATAGAAGCAATTTTATTGCTGTGCACATTAAGATACTTAATTTCAGTAAAGCATAAAAAAAAGAGTAGTGTTTTTCCTTCACTAGTATATAACTCAGAAACAGTTGTGAATATGGCACATGTACTAGATTAATAAATTTGTACCTTGCAATACTTGTTTAACATGCATAAGAAGTCAGATTATATCTTTATTCTTTATGTTATTCTTGGAAGATCATAAAAATGAACAAATATGAGGGAAACCCTTTATTATAATGGAAAAATTATATATGTATATATCAAATAAATATATATCAAATAAATGTTATATATATACATCAAAATCATTGTCATTCCAAGTAGCCAAAATTTATGAAAACTAGTTGACCTGCCCATTACTGTAAATTTGCAAAGAGGATTTTGCCCAGAATTTTAGAGTTCCCTTTAGTTCCATAAGGATGTGTTTCTAAAAATTAAAATGATTTTTTTAAAGAAATAAGTGAAACTATACATGTCAGTTGTCTAAAACAATAAACTAAGATAGAAAATGAAGGGTGCAACCAGTAATTACGTTCCTTTTAGTTAATTCAGTTAGCAGTTTCATTAACAAGTAGCTACCATGGATGATGCACCTGGCTGGACAAGAAGTGAATAAAGGGACAAATGACCTATCCTCTCAAACAGACCACATGAGAATTTAGGAAAAAAACTATTTTTAAATGAATATATTGATCATAGGTTACCAGTATTATAACCCTTCCTATAAATCTTTAGTGTTTTTTAGATATTAAAACTATAAACTAATGTAATATGCACCCTTTTCCCATCAAAATACTATGAAAATGTAAGTTTTGTTTTCCCATAATTTTTTTAAGCAATCCTATTTTTCTCCCCACAGATTTATGTATGAATATTCTAGTAATTATGGGCAAGCTCCTCTGCCTCTTTTAGTCAGTTACACCAAGAGTTACCTCTCCATGGTGGGGTCCTGTTGTACTTCCACAAGCCCAACAGTATGCTTTTTGAAAGAGGTAGGTCCCAGTTTACTTATGACACATGTTCTATCATTTAGTTCTTGCAATGGCATTCCTTTTAAATGGTGATAGAAGTTGAGATTTTGCAATCAGTAAAAGTTGCTAAATGCCTCCCTTGCATCTTGTTAATTGGAAAATAAACATACTACCTGCCTCTGGGAAATAAATATCAATAAGTTCTTTTGGTCACTGTTCCATTTACTATTTATTTTTTTAAAATCATGAAGTTAATAGTCTGTATTTTTGCTATGTGTGCACAGTTTTCCATAAATCCTAACCATCAAATAAAAGTTTTTCCCTTATTTTCTAGAGACTCCAGATGAAGCATTTATCACTGCTCACCACTATGTCAAATAGAGTCTGTTCACAATATGTTGCTTATGGAAAGGAGAAATCAAGACTCAGGTAAAGATGAGGCACCACTACCATGTTTAAATGTTTGGTTCTGTATTACATACCCATACAATTAGGGTCTTCTAAGAAGATGTTTGTAATCAGAGACAGAGAATATAGTCATATGCTCCAAAAATACTCAAAAATATGGCCCAATTCTTTTTTATTTTCTCTACACAGAATATAAACAATAAGGAATGAGGCTATGTTGTAAAACATGAACTTTGCTTTTAATTAACCTTTCTCATATGCTCGTTATATGGGAAAACTGGTGGACCACTAGAAAATATTTTATGTGTTCATATTAATACATGTTGCAAACACAATAGTAAAAAAATTTTCTGTTCATCACTTATTTCTTCACTAGTTTTTTTCTTGAAATGAAACTTCCTGAATTCTTACTTGTTGTCTGAAACTTTGTGCAGTATGTTATATATCCCTTGACCTTCATGAATTTATTCTCATTAGTTATCTTCTCCAATTGTTTGCAATGCTCATTTTGACTCTTGTGTGGCTACTCCTTTACTGTTAACTCTGTATTTTAATTTTAGTATTAGCTTCTATGTTTCGCTTCTCTCATATCTCCTCAAACATCCAGATTTGTCAGCTTTTTCTTTTCGATATTTACAGTCTCTTTAAAGTTACTTCTACTATGACCCGCAAGTTTTTTTTTTTCTCTAATGGTAATGAAAGAACCTATTTCTTGCTGTCAGTGAATAATTAGCTTCTGTAATGGAAATAGAAACCATTTAATATAATCTTTCATTAGAGATACTCAAATATTCAATGACATTTTCTCTAGTCCTCCTTTTAGTTTTCCTTTTACATTAAGATAGTGTATTTGGTGGATAGAACATGGAAATCTATAATATAAAATCACCATATACATTGCTTAATTAATTGTTAATTTATACTTGCATCAGTATCTAGGAAGTTATCCCAAGGAAATAACATTTGGTGGGAAAAAAAGATTTAGCTACAAAATATTGCTGTCGCATTCTTTAAATAAGAAAAAAATTAAAGATTTCTTAAATGTCTGTTCCTAGAATAGGAAATATCCCAAGTTAATCATAACATACATGTATTCTTTTTTAAGGCTACATAACATTTGATTGTATATATATATACAACATTTTCTTTATCTGTTCATCTGTTGAACATTTGGACTGCTTCCACCTCTTAGTGGTTATATGATATATTGTTAACATTATATTGTAAATTAGTGTTTACTGAAAACTATAAAGCATTACTAAAATAAATAAAAAAGATACAAATCAATGAAAAGATATCTCATGCTTGTGGTTTGGAAAACAATACTGTTAAGATGCCCAAAGCAATCTAGAGACTTAATGCAATCCCTGTCAAAATCTTAATGGCATTTTTTTCAGAAATAGAAAAAAAATCCTGAATTCATAAGAAATATCAAGGGACTTCAAATAACTGAAGCAATCTTGAAAAAGGACAAAGTTGGAGGCTTTAGATGTCTTGATTTCAAAGCATACTACAGAGCAGCAGTAATCAAGACAGTGGAATCATGGCATGAAGATAGATATACAGACCAATGGAGCAGAATAGAGAGAAAACCCAGAAATAAACTTTTGTGTATATGACCAAATGATTTTCAAGAAGAATGCCAAGACTACACAATGGAGTTAAAATATAGTCAGCAAATGACTCTGGGAAAACTGCATACCAACACGCAAAAGAATAGAAATTAGACCTTTGCCTTACCTCATATACAAAATTAACTCAAAAATGGTTTGAAGACCTAAACATTAAGACCTAAACCTATAAAACTTCTACAAGAAAACATATGGGAAAAGCTTCAGGATAGTGAAGTTGGCTGTAGCTTCTTGGATATGACACCAAATCTCAGGCAACGAAAGCAAAAATAAAAAAATATTGAATTATATCAAACTTAAAAACATCTACACATCATAGGCACAATTAACAGAGTGAAAAATCAACCTATATAACAGGAGAAAATGTTTGTGAATCATATATCTGATAAGGAGTTAGCATTCAGAAAACATAAGAAATTTATGTAACTCGATATAACAAAATAATTCAATTAAAGTATGGGCAAAGGGTTTAGATAAACAATTCTTCAAAGAAAACATACTAAATGGCCAACAAACAGTTGAAAAGATGCTCAACATCACTAACCAGGAAAGAACTGCAAATCAAAACCACAGTGACCTTATATCCATTAGGATGGTCACTAGCAAAGGGACGGAAAATAGACAATGTTGGTGAGGATGGAATTCTTGTGCACTGTTGGAAATGCAAAAAGTTTCAGAAAAACAGTATGGAAGTGCCTCAAAAAATTAAAAATAGAATTACCATATGATCCAGCAGTTCCACTTTTGGGTACATATTCAAGAACATTCAAAGCAGAATCTCAAATATTTATTTGCACTCTCATGTTCATTGCCTCACTATTTACAATAGCCAAGAGGTACAAACAACCGAAATCTCCAGCAGCAGATAAATAAAGAAAATGTAGTATATACATACAATGGTATTTAAGAATATTTAAGAGTAATAGCCTCTTAAAAAAAGAAAATTCTGTCACATACTACAACAGGCATAAATCTTGAGCACATTATATAAAATGAAATAAGTCAATCACAAAAAGACAAATATTGTATGATTCCATTCATTGAAGTATCAAAAGTAGCCAAAATCATAAAAATAGAAAATAGGTGATTTTCAAGGGCTGGAGGGATAGGAGAGGGGGAAACGGATCAGTGTTTTACAGGTGCAAAGTTTTAGTTTTGCAAGAGGAAAAACTTCTGGAGATCTGTTACACAATAATGTAAATATACTTAACTACTAAGCTGTATACCTTGAAAGTTGGTTAAGATGGTAAATTTAATGTTGTGTTTTTACCACAATTTTAAAAAAAAGAATGTTTAATGCTATTTCTGATATATGAAGAATATTAATATTAAAATATTTAATGGTATTTCTCTCAAATATGAGAATAATACAACATAATCTCATTCTCACCTGTAAACCTTATAAAATAAGGTAAGGTATCAGATAAGGTTTACACACTCAAAACTTCAACATTCATGAACTGTGGTGTAGGGCTACAGGTTTTTTTTCATTTTTTAAATCTATCATTTCTAAGTAAATTTATAAAAACATTTTTAAAAGAGTGTGTAAGAAGGCACAAAAATTTCAACATTGGGCTTATGAATAGAGAGACATTAGCGCTTTCTTTATTGCTGCTTTGGATCTAACATTTTAAAGGTGTGCAGCTATGTAGATCTGGCCAGAAGAGAAACTGTCATTGAGTACTGAAAATGTGAAAAGATTCATTGAGGATGGTTTGATCTTGAGTCTGGGGCTTTGGCACATAGGTTCTATCACATGGCAGACGTGCTCCATGCAGCTGTTGAGGTCAATGAGTTGAAACTATGATATTATTCCTTCAGGGAGTGTGTTCATCATGAAATGAAGAAAATTGAGAATGTGAATAAGCTAACAAGTTTATTTCTAACTGTTTAGCCAGCTCATAAAATTAGCCCAAAAAGTGCCTACTGCTGATCTAGAAGATGTTTTGCCACTAGCAGAAGATCTTACTAACATCCTCTCCAAATGCTGTGAGTCTACCTCTGAGGATTGCATGGCCAAGGAGGTAAGACAACCCTTATCACCACTGTCATTATCATATGCCAGGTATTGAGTACCATGTACTGAGTGGCAGGCACTCTTCTAAGCTGCATTTCACATGCCTTATCTTAATGGATATCTTATCTCACATGTATCCTACAAAATAAAAATGGATTTTTAACTCCACTATACAGATGAAGAAACAGAAGATTAGTAAGGGTCAATAATTTGAGACCACACAACTAGTCAGTGACCAAGTTCACATGCAAGGACAAGATTATCTGATTTCCATGACCTTACTCTATCTTTGCTGTCTAGTGCAGTATTCATTAGCTGCATATGGCTATTTACATTTAATTATAATTAAAATTAAACATAAATGTTAACATTGAAAACGATTTAACTTTCAGTTCTGCAGCCATAGTAGCCACATTTCAAATGCACAATAGTATTGGACAGTGCAAATACAGATCAGATTCATTATCATAAAAAGTTCTATTAGCATTACAACCATTATACTAATAGAGGTTACTAATGTTTTTATTATACTTTTTATGAATTGATGGTCATCTCAATTTTTTTTTGCCATTTTCTGTTTGCATAATCCTTTCAAGTAGATGCAAATTTGAATAATTGCTTTAGATGAAGATCAGTCTCCGAGGTCTTGTCAACCTCTTTAGTAATAGATAAATTGTGTTGCCTGGTCTTTTTCCATTAAAAATGCATGTCTGTGTTAATAGATGTTTCTCTATAGGACTCTGTTGTGTATACCTATTGCACGTATTATATCTACCTAGATATACCATATCTTAATTTAACTAATCCTCTATTATTGTATTCAAGTTATGTTGTCTTTTCAATGTTTTAAATAATGTTGCACTTAATAGCTTTATGGTTAAGTCTTCCCTTTATCCATAATTATTTTATGAAAATAAATTCTTTTTTTTTGTTGTTGGAATTTCACTCTTGTCACCCAGGCTGGAGTGCAGTGGCACGCTCATGGCCACCACAACCTCAACCTGCTGGGCTTAGGCAATCCTTCCATCTCAGCCTTCCAAGTAGCTGGAACTACAAATACATAACACCACACCTGGCTATTTATTGTAGAGAGGAGGTCTCACCAAGTTGCCCAGGCTGGTCTTGAATCCCCAGACTCAGGCAATCCTCTCCCCTCAGCCTCCCAAAGTGCTGGGATTACAGGCAGAGCCACTGCACCCAGCTGAATATAAATTCTTGAAAATGACATTTTACATTTTAAGGCTTTTATTGCATCTTGACAAATAACCTTCCCAAACACTATAACAATTTTCTTCCTGAGAGCATTCACACTGACTTTTATAAACATGATGCCAAGGCTTTTAAGCCTATATAATCTTTATTTTTATTATTTTTTTACTTTTTGTATTTCAATAGCTTTGGGGGTACAAATAGTTTTGGTCTGGGCTTTAGGTACCCACCACCCCACCTGTGCACATTGTACCCAATAGGTGATTTATTTTGTCCCTCTACCTCTTTTCCCCTCCCCCTTCTGAGTATCCAGTGTTCATTATACCATTTTCTATGTCTTTGCATATCATTAGTTTACTGCTTATATGTGAGAACATGCAGTATTTGGTTTTCTGTTCCTGAGTTAGTTCACCTAAAATGATGTTCTCCAATTCCATTCAAGTTGCTGCAAAATACATTATTTCATTCTTTTTGATAGCTGAATACTAGTCCACAGTGTATAGAAACTGCATTTTCATTATGCACTGATCTGTTGATGGGCACTTAGGTTGATTCCACATCTTTGCAGTTGTGAACTACACTGTGATGAACATGCGGATGCAGGTGTCTTTGTTATATAATGGCTTCTGTTCCTTTGAGTAGATATCGAGTAGTGGGATTGCTGGATCAAATGGATCTACTTCTAGTAGTTTGAAAAATCTCCACACCACTTTCCATAGGGGTTGTACTAATTGACTTTTCCACCAACAGTGTGTAACCATTCCCTTTTCTCCACATCTGTGCCAGCAGCTATTGTTTTTTTATTTTTTTTATTAATGGCCATGCTGAATGGTATAAAGTGGTATCTAATTGTGGAGGTAATTTGTATTTTCTTGATGACAAGTTGATGTTGAGCATTTTTTTATGTTTGTTGGTTATTTGTGTATCTTCTTTTGAGAGATGCCTGCTAATGCCATTTGCCTACTTTTTAATGGGTTATTTGCCTTTTTCTTGGTGATTTGTTTGAGTTCATTGTAGAATCTGAATATGAGTCCTTTGCCAGTGGTATAGTTGCAAATATCTTCTCCCATTCTGTGGGCTGCCAACTTGTTCTGTTGGTTATTTCAACTTGCTCTTTTGCTCTGTAAAAGATTTTTAGTTTAATTAAGACTCATGTGTTTATTTTTGTTTTTGTTGCATTTCCTTTTGGGGTTTTAGCCGTGAATTCTTTCCTAGGGTGATGTTCAGAAGAGCTTTTCCTAAGGTTTTCTTCTAAGATTTTTGTAGTTTCAGGTCTGACATTTAAGTCTTCAAACCATCTTGAGTTAATTTTTGTATATGGGAAGAGATAGGGCTCAGGGAGACTTCTAATGTAGCTATCCAATTTTCCCAGCACTGATTGTTAAATAGCGTCCATTCCCCAGTGTGTTTTTGTCTGCTTTATCAAAGGTCAATTGGTGATAGGTATTTGGGTTTATTTCTGGATACTCTATTCTGTTCTATTAGTCCATGTGTGTGCTCTTGTACCAGTACCATGCTGTTTTGGTTACTACAACCTTGAATTTGAACTCAGATAATGTGATGCATCCAGTTTTGCTTAAGATTGCTTTAGCTATTTTGACTCTTTTTTTTTTGGTTCCGTATGAATTTTAGGATTTTTTTTCTAATTCTGTGAAAAATGACATTAGTCATTTGACAGAGATTGCATTGAATCTGTAGATTATTTTGGGAAATGGGGTCATTTGAACAATGTGGATTCTTCCAATCCGTAAATGTGGAATGTTTCTCCATTTGTTTGTGTACTCTGCAACTTCTTTTACCAAAGTATTATAGCTCCCCTTGTAGAGATCTTTCACCTCCATGGTTAAGTACATTACTAGATCTTTTAGTGTTTTGGCTGTTATTGTAAATGGAATTGAATTATTGATTTAATTCTCAACTTGGTTGCTATTGGTGTATAGCAGTGCTACTGATTTGAGTGTGTTGATTTTGTTTTCTGAAACTTTACCAAATTCATTTATCAAGTCCAGGAGTCTTTTGAAGGAGGAGTCTTTAGGATTCTAAGGTATAAGATCATATCATTAGCATGGAAAAATAGTTTGGTTTCTTCTTTATAAATGTGGATATGCTTTACTTCTTTTTCCTGCCTGATTGCTCTGACTAGGACCTCTAGCACTATGTTGAATAGGAGTATTGAAAGTGGGCATCCTTGCCTTGTTCCAGTCCTAAGGGAAAATGCATTCAACTTTTCTCCATTCAGGATGACATTGGCTATGGGTTTGTTGTATATGACTTTTATTATTTTAAGGAATGTTCCCTTTAAGCCTATTTTGCTTAAGATTTTCATCATGAAGGAATGCTGGATTTCATCATATGCTTTTTCTGTATCTATTGTAATGATCTTATAATTTTTGTTTGTAATTATATTTATGTAGTGGATCACCTTTATTGACTTGTGTATGTTGAACCACTCTTAAATTCCTGTGATAAAACACACTTGATTGTGGTGTATTACTTTTTTAAACATGCTGTGAATTTGGTTTGCTAATATTTCATGGAGGATTTTCACATCCATGTTTATAATAGATATTGCTCTGTAGTTTTCTTTTTTGGTTGATTCTTTTCCTGACTTTGGTATCAGAATGACACTGGCTTCATAGAATGAGTTAGGAAGGATTTCTTCTTCAATGTTGTGGAATAGCTTCAGTAAAATTGATACTGGTTTTTCTTTGAAGATTTGACAAAATTTAGACATGAGTCCATCAGGACCTGTATTTTTTGTTGTTGGGAGACTTCCAATTACTGTTTCAATCTCACTACTGGCTATTGGTTTCTTCAGGGTTTCTATCCTTCCTGTTTCAAGGTTGGGGATTGTATGTTTCCAAGAATTTATACATTTCCTCTAGATTGTCGAGTTTGTTTGCATAGAGGTGTTCATATTAGTCTCAGATGATCTTTTGAATTTTCATTGTATCAGTTGTAATGTCTCCATTTTCATTCCTGATTGAGCTAATTTGAATCTCCTTTTCTTATTTAATTTAGTTAATGGTCTATCAATTTTGTTTATTTTTTAAAAGAACCAGTTTTTTGTATCATTGATCCTTTGTATTTTTTTAAATTTCAATTTTATTTAGTTCTGATCTTCATTATTTCTTTTCTCCTGCTAGCTTCGGGTTAAGTTTCTTCATGTTTCTCTAGTTCCTTGAGGTGTGATGTTAGGTTGTCCACATGGGATCTTTATGCATTATTAATGTAGGCCTTAAGCACTATAAATTTTCCTCTGAGCACAGTTTTCCTGTGTCCCAGAGGTTTTGATAATTTGTTGCATTGCTGTCATTTATTTTGTGGAATTTTTAAATTTCCATATTGATTTCATTGTTGATCCAAAGATCATTCAGGAGCAGATTGCTCAACTTCTATGCTTTTGTTTGGTTTTGCTAGCTTTTCTTGGAATTATTTTCTAGTTTTATGTATTTATTTATTTTTATTTTTATTGGGTTTTTTTGAGTTGGAGTCTCACTCTGTCGCCCAGACTGAAGTGCAGTGGCCGCTCCCGGCCACCACAGCCTCGACCTGCTGGGCTCCTGCGATCCTTCTGCCTCAACCTTCCACGTAGCCAGAATTACAGGCATGCGCTACCATGCCTGGCTGATTTTTTGATTTATTGTAGAGATGAGGTCTCACTGCCCAGGCGGGTCTCGAACCCACGGGCTCAGGCAATCCACTCACCTCAGCCTCCCAAAGGCACAGGATTACAGGCTGAGCCACCGAGCCCGGCTTATTTTCTAGTTTTATTCAACTGCTATCTAAGAAGATGTTTGATATGATTTTGATTTTTTTGAATTTATTGAAACTTAATTTGTAGTCTACTACATGGTCTATCTTAGGGAATGTTCCATGTGCTGATGAAAAAAATGTATATTCTGTAGTAATGGTACAGAATGTTTTGTCGATGTCTGTTAGTTCCATTTGCTCTAGAGTCTGATTTAATTCCAGTGTTTCTTTGCTGACTTTCTGCCTTGAGTATATGTCTGCTACTGTCAGTGGAGTGTTGAAATCTCCCACTGTTATTGTTTTGTTATCCCTTTTTTTTTTTTAGCTGTAGTAGAATTTGTTTTATAAAGCTGAGGATTCTGGTGTTAGGCAAATATATATTTAAAATTGCTCTGTCTTCTCATTGGATTGATCCCATTAACATTATGTAATAACCATCTTTGTCCTTTTTTTTTTTTTTTTTACTGTTGTTAATTTAAAGTCTGTTTGATATAAGAATGGTTACTCCTGCTCATTTTTAGTTTCCATTTGTGTGGAATGTTTTTTCCCACCCTTTTACCTTGAATCTGTAGGAGTCTTTGTGAGTTAAGTGAGTCTCTTAAAGGCAGCAGATATTTGTGCTATTTCTTTTCCATTCTCCCAGTCTATATTTTTTTAGTGGGGCATTGAAACCATTTACATTCAGAATTAATAATGATATGTAAAATATTATTTCATTTATGATACTGGTTATTATCTGGTTGCTTTCTTTCTTTCTTTCTTTCTTTCTTCATTCATTCATTTTTCTTTATTGTGTTGGTGTTCTATAACACCTGTGTGCTTTATGGTTTCCAGTGTTTTTCTACTTGTGTATTTTGATCTTTTGTTTCATTATTTAGAACTTCTTTGGGTATTTCTTGTAGAACTGGCCTGGTGATGACAAATTCCCTCAGCATTTCCTTGTCTGGGAAATACTTCATTTCTTCTTCATTTATGAAACTTAGTTTTATGGGATACAGAATCCTCGGCTGATTGTTGCTCCATTCGAGGAAACTGAAGGTGGGACCTGAATCCCTTCTGGCTTGTAAAGTTTTCCCTGAGAAGCCTGCTATTAGTCTGGTATTTTACCTTTGTAAGTTATTGGATGTTTTTGTCTCACTGCTCCTAAAATTCTTTCCTTCACATTAACTTTGCATAAACAGATGATTATATGACTTGAGGATGACATTTTTGCAATTAATCTTCTGGAGATTCTTTGGACTTCATGTATCTGAATATTTAGATCTTTGGCATGGCCAAAAAATGGAAGTTTTCATCCATTATACTCTCAAATAGGTTTTCAAAATCTGCTGCTTTCTCTTCTTTCTTGGGAACATCTACGATTCTTAGGTTTGGATGTTTTACATAATCCTACATTTCTTGGAGACTTTGTTCTAGTCTCTTGATTCTTTTTTCTTTATTGTTGTCTGATTAGGTTAATTCAAAAGCCTTATCTTCAAGTTCTGAGATCCTTTCTTCTTCTTGTCTAGTCTACTGTTAAAACTTTCCACTGCATTTTGTATTTCCCTAAATAATTCTTTTATTTTCAGAATTTCAGCTTGGTTTTTGTTTTGCTTTGTTTTGTTTTTGTTTTTGTTTTGGTGACTACCTTTTTGGAGGAAAATTTTTCATTTACACTCTGATTTTTTTCTTACTTTCTTTATGTTGATTTTCAATATTATCCTGAAGTTTGTTGATCAATTTTATGAACAACCTTTTGAATTCTATGTCTGGAACTTCAAAAATTTTATTTTGGTTAGGGTTCATTGCTGAAGAGTTGGTGTGGTCTTTGGGTGATGCTGGAGAACTCTGTTTTTCCATATTGTCAGAATTATTTTTCTGGTTCCTTCTCATGTGGATGGACAATTTCTTCTTCTTTGAGATTCCCTGAGGGCTGATGCAGGCACTGTAGGTTCCCCTTGGTTATATATTGCCTTGGTGTGATGAGTTTTCAATTGCCAACTGTGGCAGTCCTGTGCTGGGTACCTGCACTTGCTCACTATGACTTGAGTAGCCAGAGTGGCTTGGAAACTGAAGTTAGCTGGGGTTTGGGATAAGGCCTTCCCCCAAACTGGTTTCCCCAAAGCCCACCAATGTGGTGGGCTGTAATGTTGACCTCCAGTCAGGAGGTGGTGCTTGTGGGAGAAGCCAACTGTGATGGTTGCTGAGGGCTTCCTTTTTAGCATGTGTTGTTCCAAGGAAGCACCCAACCAACTTAGTCAGAGGGCAAGGCTCTGGAGATTGCCCAAGTTCTCTGTTTTAAGCCTTTGAATTGAGTGTGGGGATGGGGGAATAAGCTTAAACACCCCATAAGAGTGCACTCTTGGCTACTCCAGTGGGGATTAGGAGGGAGTCCCAGGCCACCGGGGTAATGCTATTGTGCAGGGCAAGAACATAAGAGTTTGCACAGGAAGTGAGAGATTATTATGGCAACAAGTCCCACCTGGCTCCCTACCTTGGTCTCAGACAGTTTGCCTTGTACATGTCAAAGTGCAGCAGATCTTAGGACCTCAGGCGCTCTTATGGCAACCTACCCCAGCTAGGAACTGTCTGTAGCCAAGGAGTTTTCCCTTAGGGTCAGTTCCCTTTCAGGCCAGCTAGAAAGCCATCATGCTGCCTACAAGAGTTGAGTTCCTGGAATATGGTGGCTGGCACAGCTCAAGGCTTTCTTTTTTCCTACACCATTCCACGTAAACTGCAGCAGGTGATGGCTGTAGGTAAGGCAGTTTCCAGTGAGGGACTAGAGCCCTGCAAGGCTCGGGGGGCCCTTCAAGTTTACAGCAGGAGCACAGAACTCCTGAATTCCCCTCACTCACTTTCCCCACTGCATCAGGAGGCTGCCAGGGGATTGTGGTGGTGCGCACAAGAGTTTGGCTCATTTCGGGCCAGGTCAATGGGTTTTTCTCTTCTTTGCACTCTGTGGTTATTATTACTTATTTGACTAGTCATGGGTCACACTGCTAGTCCTACTCCTTTCTGGGTGCAGAGGAAACTCTGTCTTCGCTTACTCCATAGGAGATATTCACTCTAGCTACCTCACATTGGCCATCTTAATCCCTCTCCTTATTTTTAATTAGACCAACCAGGAAATTAACAATGCATGGGTTCACCATTTCTTTTGTAGCTGCCTGAATACACAGTAAAAATCTGTGACAACTTATCCACAAAGAATTCTAAGTTTGAAGACTGCTGTCAAGAAAAAACACCCATGGACATTTTTGTGTGCACTTACTTTATGCCAGCTGCCCAACCACCTGAGCTTCCAGACGTTGAATTGCCCACAAATAAAGATGTGTGTGAACAAGGAAACACCAAAGCCAGGGATCAGTAAGTACAGTGATCTGAAATGTGTTTCCATTTTAAGTTCATCTGAACAAAAATATGGGCCAGATGAAGGGAAGATTAGGCTGTCACTCATTTCAAGCAGAGACAAAATTCTTTTTATGCTATTTATGGAGTTTAAATATGTGTTCATTGATTTTGTCTGATCGAAAAGTTTAAATTTAAAAATAAATAACAATTGAATTCAATAGAAAAATTTTGGTTATGGAAAGGGAGCTTAGAGTACCTAATTCTGCCTTCTTTGATTACTGTGCATAGTCAAAATAAGTGACTTTTGATTGCAGTGAACTTCTTTCAGGACTTGTTGCTATGTGAGTCCTCCCAGATCTTCCCTTGTGCACATTACACACAGTACCATGTGTCTCAAACTTATCACGAAAGCATGTGGTTGTTAGTCATGTTGGAGGTTCTATTGCATATTCATGCCTCCATTTTCATTGTACTTCCACAACTTTCCTGAATTTCAAATACCACTTCAAAATGGTCTTGAACTCCTCAATCAATAACTGTGCTTCTGCGATTTTCTTTTACTATCCTGCCTGTCTCATGGTGACCCTAGCATTCATTTGATTAATGCCATCTTTTGAACTAACGTCATACTACACATTGCTATTGTAATTCAATTCAACTTTGAAATGAAGATAACATCTCTTAAAATGTGTATAAATTTTTTGGCATCTTTGGTATATTACACATACAACTTTTACTCAGTATTAACTAGTCATGATGGCAAGTATTAATAACTTGTATTTCAATGAAACTATTTCATATACCAAAGTCTATTGACTTGGAGTCCATTTCAGTTAAATCTCTTCTTTTTAATTAAAAGGCAAAAATCAGGTGCTCCGCCTTTATAATAGATATTTCACAGTTCAAAATATGAACATATACACTCATATACACTGTGCACACCTTAATGAGTATTATCTCCTTTCCCCCCCTCACATTAGGTATGCATTTGAACTAAGTAGAAGGACTCATCTTCCAGAAGTATTCCTCAGTAAAGTACTGGAGCCAACCCTAAAAAGCCTTGGTGAATGCTGCACTGTTGAAGACTCTGCTACCTGTTTTAATGCTAAGGTATGATTTGCTAGATTTTATTTATCAACAATGCAAATTAAGAGTTGGTGAACTGCAGTTCCTGGGCCAAACCTGGCTTACCATCTACTTTTGTAAGGCCCACAAACTAAGAATAGAATAATTTTACATTTTTGAGTTGTTGGAGAAAAATAAAAATAATAGTATTTTATGACACATAAAAATTATATGAAGTTCAAATTTCAGTGTTTATACATTAACTTTCATTGGGACACAGTCATCTTAATTGTCTCTTCATTGTTTATTTTTGCTTCTATACAGGGTTGAGTAGTTGCAATAGAGATCATGTATGGCAAAGACTAAAATATTTATTACCTGGCCTTATGCAGAAAACATTTGCTAATGCCTGGTGTGGATAATACTCATCTTGATACAAAACATGGAATTTTGATTTAATGGCCTCATGGGACAGTGTTTCAAGACAAATAACTTTGTTGTGCAATTAATGTTTTCTTACAGGGTCCTCTTCTAAAGAAAGAACTATCTTCTTTCATTAACAAGGGGCAAGAACTATGTGAAGATTATTCAGAAAATACATTCACTGAATACAAGAAAAAGTAAGAGATTTTTAATGTCTATATTCTTCAAATTTATCAATATGTGCTTAGTATTGTGATTTGAAAGCATAATTGAAAGCTTAAGATGTACCAAATGAACAATACAAAGAGGCGGTATAATTAAAAGTTTTTAAAAGTAGTCAGAATATAGTATCTGTGTAAGAAGAAACTGAGTTCTTTTTAGGGGAATAATGCCATGTGTATCAGGTGAGTGGCCAATTAGAACACAGCCACAAAAATATAAATTACAAAATCTATCTCCAGGGACTTGATTCAAAATGGCAATATTAGTGCATAGTTTTTCAATATTCTTGCCTCAGAGTTTGCTATAGATATTGCTGTACAAAACTAAGGAATTATGAAACTGCTGAAATTATTATTTAACTTCATGTTCTATTGCCTGATGGGAAGATCTCAAATTTTAATCAAATGTAGTGTCAGCCATCATCAGTATGCATTCCCTATAAATTGGAGACAGAAATGTTAATTTCCAATAATATCGTGTAATAGTCATTTTTCACAATTAACAGGAAGAAAAATCATTTCTTTTTAAGTATGCATTCACATCGATATAATAGGCTATCATAAAAAAGTGGTACTGAGTTCTTAGAACATATCCATTGAGAAGACAAGGTCATTCTTCCCAACTCTATTTAGTATACTTTTCAGATTCATTTAAAATCATTTTGAACAACATGGGCTTCAAGTAAGCAAGAATAGATTCCACAAAATCTTTCTAAAGAATCCCAAAAGTAAGACACCTGTTTCAATGACTCCTATGACGTCTACCCTAGAAACTTCCAAGCAAACATTAAAACTGACAGCCTTAAGTTCAAAGTGACTATTTCTCAGCTATCAGAAAATTGATTAATTGTATAATCTAATAGAATACCTTAGAGGCAATATAGAATAATGTTAAGCAGATGATTAAAGATTAAGTTCTCTGCCAACTGTTTCAAACTCCAGGATTTCATGGGGCAGTTAAGTAATAATCCACATAATCTCAATTCCAGATGAACATGTGGTAGAATTAACATTTAGAGTTATAAAATTAGAGAAGATTGAGACTATTGTCCAGGAATTTGAAATCTCCTCCCCTTTCCTTGTCTTTCCTTCCTCTGACTTTTTTCTGGCCTTACTGACCTCCTCTCCCAATTCGAACTTAGCTGTTTTAACATTGCTTTTATAGCAAACTAGTCTAGCTTACCCTCCTGTCCCTCCCCAACATGCATCTTGTCAACCCCACCTCTAGTTAAATTTGGGCTTCTCTCCCTCAAATTACCCACTACTGGGCTAGCAAGCATTTCTTGAAGAAAGTAATAAAAGCAGGATGAGTTTTGTTTTTTTGTTTTTTTTGAGTTGGAGTCTCACTCTGTCGCCCAGACTGGAGTGCAGTGGCCGCTCCCGGCCACCGCAGCCTCGACCTGCTTGGGCTCAGTTGATCCTTCCACCTCAGCCTTCCAAGTAGCCGGAACTACAGGCGTGCGCTACCGTGCCTGGCTGATTTTTTGATCTATTGTAGAGATGAGGTCTCGCTACCCAGGCGGGTCTCGAACCCGCGGGCTCAGGCAATACGCTCACCTCAGCCTCCCAAAGGCGCGGGATTACAGGCTGAGACACCGAGCCCGGCTGAGTTATTTATTATAAGAATAGAGAGGCACCAAAACCATATATTATTCATATTGAAAGAGTTGGGAGATATCAAGTCCTATCACCATCTTGAAAGAGAGATGGAAAGTTAATTAATAGTAAAGCTAAAAACAAGAGTTGAAATTTCCTGACTCCTGTTATAGTGTTTTCAGCACAGTGAGTTGAGAAGTAGGCACACTGAGGGGAAATTTCTGTAAAATATGAGAGAAAAAAAGCATTAAGTGTCTGTAAAGAAATATTCTTTAAGGAGCTTGAAATCTAAAACTGAAAAGAAAGTAAAAGGTTAAAGAATGTAGAAGTGGAAGCTATCCATGTTGAAATAATGAGCAAATGAAAGAGAAAAGATTGAAATTCAAATTCAGCAACTCTTTGTATGTCGAGTTCATGATCTTGAAAGAGGCATAGATTTCACATTCTGATCTCAGATTGACTCACCTAAAATCATTCCACGGATTTGAATTTCCTTGAGACAAATATTTTTTAAATTGTAAAATATTTGAAATGGCTATTATTTTGCATTAGAAATGTTTATAAACTACACCTAGTAACACCTTACATTAAATTGGTCTTTCAGATTGGCAGAACGACTAAAAGCCAAATTACCTGATGCCACAACCGCCGAACTGACAGAGCTGGTTAACAAACGCTCAGACTTTGCCTCCAAGTGCTGTTCTATAAATTCACCTCCTCTTTACTGCGATTCCGAGGTAGGAAAATGTAACCTTTCTTTGGTTGCTGTAGAGTATTTTAAGAACTCACGCGCTCAGATTTACTCATGTATTTCTTGTTGCTGAAATGCCTTTATGTGACAGGTTTTTCCTGGTACTATTATAACTCTGTTGTCTTTGCAACAAAAGTAAGAAAAATGTTTTTTGCTATATTTACTTAAAAGCAAATTGAGCAGTTGCAAAACTTATGAAATGCTATACTTTTTTTAAGAAACAAAAAAGTTTTTGTATACAGGCAGCAAAGTTCATGTAGCATTTATTTTTCAATCTGTAGTTTGTAATCTAGTAACAGCTTTTTTTAATTTATACTTTTTATTATTATTTTATTATAAAGATGTGGAGTACAATTCAGGGTTAGGTATACAAACATTGATTGTACCCTTGTTGATGAGGTATGCTCCTCCCTCCCCTAGCAGTTTCCCTCAACTGCCAATCCCACCCCTCCCTGACAGTTTCCACTACTGCCAGTCCCTTTCTTATAGTAGTATATTTGTTCAAGGTCCACTTATGAGTGAGCACATATGGTACTCTGTTCTTTGTTTCTGTGATAGATCACTGAGTATGATCTATTCTAAATCCATCCAAGTTAACAGCTTTTCAGTTTGAAAGAAGAGAAGAATAAGAACATAGTCAAAATACCAGTCCTTGTCACATAGTGAGGACGTTTTGTGAAAGTTTTATTTTATATAGATGTACATATGTTTATGTAGATATATGTATATGTATGTATATATAGACTGATAAGAAGAAATGCTTTTTGAAAGATGAAATGGTACCATACCTTCTATTTTAATTATAAAAATATTAAATTTAATTTTGTTTTAACATGACACAAAAAAATAAATGCCACTGAAGAACTTCTAAAGGTCACATAAGTGTTTCTTTACCATTTATTTTCTAAAAGTTAAAAGAAAATTATAAAGCATATTAATGTTAGTCTTTTTTTTTTTTTTTCTTTAACTCAGAGCCTCACTCTGTTGCTTAGGCTGGAGTGCAGTGTCACACTCTCACAACCACTGCAGCCTTGAACTGATGAGCTCAGGCGATCCTTCTGCCTCAGTTTTCCAAGTAGCTGGAACCACAGGTGCGCACCACCACACCCAGCTAATTTTTATTTATTTATTGTAAAGACAAGGTGTCGCCAAGTTTTCCAGGCTGCTCTCAAACCCGTGGGCTCAGACAATACTTTCACCTCTGCCTCCCAGAGTGCTGGGATTACAAGCACAAGCCACCACGCCTGGCTAATGTTAGTCTTTTGTTGTTGTTGCTGTTGGAGTTGGAGTCTCATTCTGTTGCCCAGGCTGGAGTGCAGAGGCACACTCACTGCCACCGCAGCCTCGACCTGCAGGGCTCAGGAGATCCTTCCACCTCAACCTTACAAGTATCTGGAACTACAGGCACGCACCACCACACCCGGCTAATTTTTTGATTTATTGTAGAGATGAGGCCTCACCAAGTTGTCCAGGCTGGTCTTGAACCTATGGACTCAGACTATCCTCTCACCTCAGTCTCCCAAAGTGCAGGAATTATAGGCGTGAACCGCCAAGCCCAGCCTAGTCATTTTTAATCATAAATTTTTCTTTTAGATACTATCAGTTGGTTCCTAATGCTAAAAAAAAAAAAATATATATTAGAATTTCTATATTTCTTCCAATTTCCCTCCAAAGTTTTGTTATTTCTGGAGTTCATCTTCTTTAAATGTCCCTTCTCCTTCTCCCTGTCTCCCCCTTCCCTCTTTTTTCCTTCTTTCTCTTCCTCCATCCTGGTTCAGGTTTTATTTTCCTTCTCCTAACCCCCTCCTCCTCTCTCTTTCCTTTTTCTTCCTTAAATGTATCTGCATAGCTACTAGATTCTTTATTTTTTTTACCTTGTGCCAAACATGTGCAGCTCTGGCCACACTTTTTATTTTCTCTGATAGTAGGTGAATTCGTTTTTCCTTATTCACCACACCCAGGGCCCACTGGTTTTCTCCTGTAAACCTCAGTGTGAGGATGGTACTTGGTGTTCTGCCATCTTTATATAGACTGAAAGTGTGAGGGAGAGGAAGAAACCAGATAGGCTACGTGGAGCCATTGTTTGTAGACCAGAACTATGCTCTGACTACTGAGATTTTGCTAGGTATCTTATCCTAAGGTCTCCTTCACCAAGTCAGTATCTGCCTTGTTCCATGAGGGGATGTTTTGTTGGCCTTTTTCAGAAACTTTCAGCCTATTTTTCACATCTTCCATCTTACCTGTCACTCTCATTTCAATAATTTTAAATATCCAGAAGAGTCAAAAGATAAGGGCAACACTACATTTTACTTTACTACTAAGTTGGAGATGTGAGTGACAATTTCAAGATCTTGTTGTCTTGCCTACTCTATTTCTGGAATATAGAGGCCAGGCCATAACTCTATGCCATGCCAAAATATTTCCTTCCTTATTTCACTTCTTTCTGAAGCTCATGATATCAAATTGTATCATTTTCCCAGTCTGTTGGTGGCTGTCAAGTCCAATTTTGACTGGACTTTACTATAGTTTTATCGCCTTATGTTGGAGAAAGGGTATTTATGGTCTACTTTTGACCCATTATTTGTATATGTCTTTTCAAAAAATAATTAAACTGTAATGTAAATGTCAAAGCTACTTAGGCTAATGATTTAATGCCAGTTAGAAGTTACTTAGAGTCTATAATACTGAGTGATCTATCACAGAAATAAAGAACTGAGTACCACATGTTCTCACTCATAAGTGGACCCTGAACAATTACCATAATACTATAAGAAAGGGATTGGCAGTAGTGGGAAACTGCGGGGGGGGGGGCACAATTCATCAATAAGAGTACCTGATCTCAAACCAGGTGAAGTGGGAATCAAAGTGAGGCCCAAACTTTACCTACACAATAACCATTTGTATACCTAACCCTGAATTATACTCCACATCTTTAAAATAAAAAAAAAGTTTTCTCTAAGTGAAAAAATTTCTTTAAGAATTTGCATGAATTTTGTTCATTTATTAGCCATGAAAGCAACCAAGTCTGGTTTCTATTAGAGCACATGTGAAAATATCCAAGAACTTAATAAAAAAATCAAATCACAAAAGTATAAATGTTGGAAGAAAACTGTGAATATCATTTACTATAATTTCTCAGTTAATTCCTTCCAGAGATCATTCAGCCTTCATTTAAATTCCTATAGTCAATTTCTTTTCTCCGAGAAGTAGAAATGGCCATTTCGTTGCCAGGTAGCTTCACTAATGAAAACATTCTTCTATAAATTAAGCCATCATATTCCCCTCATAATGTCTTCTGAGCTACCTTGGCTGTCTGTCTCAACCAGGGAATATTCATTCTCTGTTCTCAGTAGATTTTTTTATACTTAAAGTAACATTTTAAAACTTGGACTGTGCACACTTCTTTGACAAGAGTACCTGCATAATGAACATTTGTATACCTAAACCTGAATTGTACTCCGTATCATTAAAATAAAATTAAATTAATTAAAGAACAAGCAAACAAAAAACTTAGGTTGTGTAAAGTGTTTTCAAAGTCTTGGGCTATGTGTACCAATTCTCTTAATACTTGTATTTTAGTGTTTTGTTTATTTATTTATTGTATAGTATCTAAAAAACAAAATGTTAATTGGTTTAACAAATGGAGCTAAATTTGCTTCAGTTTTCTTCTTTATAGCCTTGGGATTCCTATTTCTCTTCTAATTTTCATGCTCACGCTGTAGTACCAAACCTCTTTGCTCTCCTTGTTTGTAACAATTTGTAAAGCCAGAATTCCAGATGAAAAGAACAGTAGAATAGAAGCCTATTCTTTAAGTTCCAGTGACAACTATGTCAGTCATCTTTATCTTTTATTAAAATTGAAGCTACATGAAAGTCTGAACATGAAAACTGAAAAAGTTGGATTATTGGGGTATTTTGGTCATTATGGACATTAAATATTTATTTGTTTGTTTGTTTGTTTTTGAGTCAGAGTCTCATTCTGTCACCCAGATTGTAGGGCAGTGGCACACTCACTGGGCTTCTGCGATCCTTCTGCCTCAGCCTTCCAAGTAGCCAGAACTACAAGCACGTGCTACCACACCCAGCTAATTTTTTTGTTTGTTGGTTGTTTGGTTTTTTGGGGGTTTTTTTGAGTTGAAGTCTCACTCCGTCACCCAGACTGGAGTGCAGTGGCTGCTCCCGGCCACCGCAGCCTCGACCTGCTGGGCTCCGGCGATCCTTCTGCCTCAGCCTTCTGAGTAGCTGGAACTACAGGTGCATGCTACCACGCCCGACTAATTTTTTATTTATTGTAGAGACAGGTCTTGCCAAGTTACCCAGGCAGATCTCGAGCCTACAAGCTCAGGCAATTCACTTACCTCGGCATCCCAAAATGCTAAGATTACAGGCTGTGCCACTGAGCCCGGCCAGACATTAAATATTTTAAGCATAAAACAATTAAAATGTTTTGCTTCCTTTCATCACCAACTTGCTTTTAGTAACCTACCTTGAGTTTGAAGTTAGGTTATTTTACCCTAGAAAAATAACATCACTATTTACAGTTATTTGGTACCAGCAAAAAATTTGCTCTGAGGGTTTCAGTCATTAAAAAAGAAAAAAGAAAAGAGTCTAAATTTTCTTATACATTCTATAAGCAATATCACTTTTGAAACCCCTTTCCTGTTCCTTTGTTTTCTGTTGATCCAGATATGCACTGTCCCTGCTGACGCCATATAAGACACACCGAATCTTAAGCAAATGTATGCTTCCTTCAAGACCTTTGTTTCATTTCTTTGAGTTGCTTTTCAGTATATTTTTCATTATAACATATTGCCATCTTAACAGCCAAAATGATAAGGCAGGTTTGTAACTTTCAGTCTTTTTGCTTTATTGCCAGTAACATTATAGCAGCTCTGCTGAGTAAATAATCTTTCAGTCATTGCTAAAGAAGAGTGAGAGGAATGGGGTTATTAGATACTTATGCACATTGATCTTAAGAGCACTCAGAGATTAGACTCTCTGGTGTTCCAATGAGCTGCTCTGTTTGTCTTTCTAAACTGATTTCATAGTTACGGAGGCAAGCTCACTTTCCTTTCTGACTTTATGTTAGAAAAAAATTTGTTGGAACAGTATTTGTTAGAACAGTGTTCACTTTCATTTCAAGTGCTTAGTGTGAATGTTTATCCCACTTACCTTGAAACATTTGGGTCATAATTTGTTAGATCTCCTGTCCTATATTTGCTTGACAGAATGTTTCATTTAAAGTCATATCCATCTACTTCTTACCCCAAGACACTTATATCCAGGAATCTTTCTCTAATTGTCTTTCTAAATATACTTGGCACAACTGCTGGAAGAATGGCAAAAAAAAAAAAAAAAAGGGCTTCTGAATCATGATAAATTAACATTTCATTATTTGGAAATCTACTTTTACATCCACCCTGAACTTGAAATGACTGAGAAATAGAACAACCAATGTGATTTTCTTTTGGCTTTACCATGGAACTCTCAGAACTGGTTCTTTTTTTTAATGCCATGGAGGCCCATTTGCCTGCAGAAAAACATATAGTTTCAAAATCAGAATTAAAATTTTTCTCTCTCTCCACCATCATTCAGGTAGAGCAACCCTATGTGCTCTCTTGTGAACACATTCATACACTTCCTCTAAAATGTTCCAACAAAGGCGCGGTCGACATCAAATATGATTCCCCAAAGTGTTCATATTGATATGAATACTCCCCAAAGTGTTGATATTGATCACTAGAATATTGAACACCTAGAGGCAAATACAAATAGCCAAATGGAAACTAACAAAGAGGAGGTTGAAATACAGAGTGATATACTCTCTAGCCCCCCGCCTCCAATTTTTCCACCTCTCTTCCCTCTTTCTTACTCAATGACATTGATTAAGACATTGCTATATGTTAAGCAGAAATATTGATAGCATTTTATGTATGTATTTATAGCATAATGCAAAACAATTCTAAAAGTGAGGTACCATTTTAACTCCCCATTTATAGATGGATTGAATAAGGTTTACAGAAGTTATATAATGTTGGAGAAAAAAAATCTATGTTTATTCCATGTTAGTCTGTTATCCTAACTACATGTCATTGTCATAGACTTCATCCCTAATTTAGCTAATTGTAACAAAAGCAAAGTATTGATACCAAAAGAACTATTGACTGAAAATCCAAAGTTATTGTTAAATAGCAAAAATGATACCAGGTCAGTAGTATCACTCTGAATTCCACCCATCTCACTTTCCTGGAATTTTCCCCCATTTGTCATACTATCTTCTTTTGCTTTAATTTTTCATTTTTACTGCCTTTGTCCAATTTGTATTAAAGTTACTTTACTTCTTATCTCAAAAAATAAGACGACACTTTAGAAACCTCCCTATCTTATTTTTTATTTCTCCTCTCCTTACTGCCAAGATTATTTCACTCATTCATTTATTTATTTTAGTGTTTTGGGATACAAGTGAGGATTTACTATATAAGTAGGTTGCTGGCAGGTGAAATTTGGTCTTCTAGCTAGACCTCACTCCCCCTCAAAATGGATCAAGTACCCATTGTGCTGTCATCTGCCCCTCACCCTCCCTTCCTCCCCTAGCAGTGCCCAGCAACTGCAGATCCCACCGCTGTGCTAATGTGACTAGTGTTCAAGGCCCGCTTATAAGTAAGAACATATGGTATTCAGTTCTTTTTATTCTGTGATAGTTCACTTTGTATGATGGTGTCCACCTGCATCCAAGTTGCTGCAAAGGCCATGATTTTGTTATTCTTTATGGTTATGTAATATTCCATTGTGTGTATATACCACATTTTCTTTATTCAGTCCACTTTAGATGGGCAACAGGGTTGGTATCATGTTTTTGCTATTGTGAATGGTTTGGCAATAAACAAGCACGTGCAGGTTTTTTTTTTTTTTTTTTTTTTTTTTTTTGGTAGGGTGATTTATGGGTATAGTCCCGGGAGAGAGACTGCTGAATTGTATGGAAGATCAATCTTCAGTTCTTTTAGAAATTGCCACACTGCTTTCCATAGAGGGTAAACTAGCTTACATTTCCACTAATAATGTAGGAGCATTCCCTTTTCTCCACACCACCCCAGCACCTGTAGTTTTTTGACTTACTTTTTCATGTGTCTGTTGGCTGCTTGTACATCATCTTTTGAGCAGTGTCTGTTCATGTCCTTTGCACATTTTTTAATGGGGTTGTTGGTTTGATTTTTCCTTTCAGTTTGAGTTCCTTGTCGATCCTGGATATTAGACCTTTGTCAGATGCATAATTTGTCAGATACAAATATTTTTTACCATTCTGTGGGTTGTTTTTTTACTCTCTTTATGGTTTTTGTTTTTGTTTTTGCTGCACAAAAGGTTTTCAGTTTGATGAGGTCCCACTTGTCTATCTTAGCTTTTGTAGCATTTGTTTTTGGGGACTTGGTCATGAATTCATTGTCTATTCCAATGTCAAGAAGGGTGTTTCCTATGTTTTCTTCTAGGATTCTTACAGATTGAGGTCTGTGAAAAATGATGTTGATAATTTGACGGGTATTGCATTGAATCTGTAGATTGCCCTAGATAGGGTGGACATCTAGACAATATTGATTCTTCAAATCTGTGGGCATAGAATGCTTTTTCTTTTGTTTTTCTCATCCTTGATTTCTTTGAGCAGTATTTTATAGTTCTTGTATAGGCCTTGCACTTCTCTGGTTAGGTGGATGCCAAGATATTTCTTTTGTGTGTTTGTGGTTATTGTGAATGAGGTTGTGTTTTTTATTTGGGTCTCTGCCTTCTTGTTGTTAGTGTATACAAGTGCAACTGTCTTTTGAATGTTAATTTTGTAACCTGAGATTTTACCAAAGTTGTTTATTAGTAAATATTGCCAAGATTATTGAAAGAATACCATGCACTGACTCATCACATCTCCTGTTCTTGTCTCAACCATTTTGTACTACCATAACACTACCAACAAAGCCACAAGAACAATCTACTTGCTAAATCACATAAAGATGTTTTAATTCTTGTCAGTCCTCTATGCAAAACACTTGATACCCACAACTATTCCTTCCTTCTTGAAAAAATTTCTTTGGCTTCTGTATGATCATTGTCTACCTTTGTCTTTCTACGATTCTTTCATTCTTGTTCTATTTCCCATTGTCCTCTGTCTTTACCTACCCGTTAAACTTCTGCTTGGCTGAGTTTTTTCCTTAGTCTTCTTCACTTCTATGACACTGCAATTCCCCAAGTTTCTTATTCACACACATGCTTTTAACCTCCAGATCTCCACTTACAGCAAGGATTTCCTCCTCAATCCTAGGCTCTTTATCTAACTGTCTATGGGGCTCGGTTGTCTCACAGTCTTGTCCCGTAAGAAATTCAGACTCAACATGGCCAACACCTTTCTCCTAAAATCTTCTGTTTCCTAAATTTATAAATATCATCCCATTTATCTGTTGTCCCAAGATAAAAACAGCGATTTAATCTCTTCTTCTCTTTTTCCATACACATGCCATGAAATTCCAAATCCTATCAATTCTTCCTCTGCAACATCTCTCGTTCTGTCACCCATCTTCTTCTTCTTGGTATCTAATTTTAGGCAATTTTTCACTTAGATCACAACTTTCCAATTGGTCTCATGCCCAATTTCATCTCTATAATGAGGTGCAAATAATTATCGCAAAACACAAAATGACTCTCCATTGTTTCCAAACCAACAGTTCAATTTTTTTAGAAAACCAAAAGAGTTGGACCCTTGATTTCTTCTCTAACATGACCTCCTATTACTATTTCTTGGGCCTCCTGCTTGGGTTCTCTTGAACAATTTTCAGTTTTCCAAACTCATTCCACATAATGGCTCTGCCCAGATTGCCCTGTCTCTTATCAGGACTACTTTCGTAGACTCTTCCAACAAGCTTCAGGTTTCAAGTTAGGCATCATCTCTAGGAGTCATTCCCTGGCACTCAAGTTCCTAAAACATTCTGGGCACATTCAATAATTATCACTAATTAAACTCTACTGTCTTTTTTTTTTCTTGCCTATCTTTTCCAAAAAACTCTAAATTCTTCAAGGGCAGGAACAACATACAGGTACATAAACGTGAAGGATGGTCAATAAAAATTGCAATGTAAAATGGAATTTTGGCCACAATTACTTCCTTTAAGCAAAGCTTCAAATGTTTATATACCTTCTGCATGATCTAATAGTCTATAAACAAAATGCTTCATAAGTTTATAATTCTTTTTTATTATTAGATTGATGCTGAAATGAAAAATGCCTTGTAGTCCTGATGCATGTGTATTGTCTTTGGTAAGTATATTCTTTAAATACAGCACCAAAGAATTCAGCATTGTACAATGTATTTTAAATATTGAAGGATAGGAAGGAAAGTTTATTCAAATTAATTATTTATTCTATTTATTATCTATTGAAATTCATTTTACAGATGAGAATATTAAGCACCTAGAAAAGTTAAAGAACTTACACAAGGGCACATTGCCAACTTCTGACAAGTTTAATATTAGGATCTAGGTTTACTGGTTTCCTGTCTGGAGCTACATCTATTATAGCCTCACATGTAAGATAATAACACCATAAAGGTCATTTCCAGGATTTTTATGCTCTTTAATAGGAAAAGGTCTGAGTTTAAAGACAGAGTTCATCGAGTCTTAACTCATTCATGATCTCTGATGTGAATTTATGTCATTCCTAATTCTGTTCCTGGTTGCTACTGATGTGAATTTACATCTTTGCTAATTCTGTCTCTGAATGCTGCAGTGTCGTCATACGTATGTGTTATTATATTTTTCTTGAAAATGAAGAATAATGAAGCAAGGAGATAGAAAATTAATTGAGATAATTTTCTGATATCGACTGCACAATGTTATTGATTTTGTAGTTGGTAAAAAATTCCAAGTTGGTCATTATTTTGTTGCAATTAGTGTTGTATACTTATATTTTGATAATTCAGGGCTTTCATATTCCAACATTAAAAATAATTTGCCATAATTACAGATATATGCTGATGAGATTTCTGAAGTTGAAGGTGAATCCTATGAACTTATTAGTGATAGAGAGACAGATGGTGATATAATGATGCAATGTAAAAGAAGAAGAAATATATATATGTATTCGGTTTATAATCCAAATAAAAATACAAAGTACATAATGGTAGTCAGAGTGGTGTCTGAGGCAAATACTAGATATGTCTGCAACTTTTGTATTGTGAAAAAGGTGACAATTTAGAAAACACCATTTCACTTGTGCTTAACAACTGAAGTTTGCAGCAACCAACTTCAGATTTTTTTTTTATTCTCACCCGCTTTCAGTATTCAGAAAGTGAAAATTTTGGAATCACGAATGTGTTACAAGTAGGGTTCTTAGGAGGAAAAAAAGCATCCTTATTCAAATTAAAGCAGCACTGTTAAAATATTATCATTTGCTTCTTTCAATTCTACATTTTCACCCATTTAAAACTGCCTAATGAAGATATTAAGAACATAAAATTGTTTACTTAGACATAATTCCATACCTTAAACTGAAGGTGACCTCAACTCTGCACATTTCAACAAGAATACTTTTCTCTCCAGATTCATTATGTTTATTTTAAAGATATTACATCTGAGACTTTAAATAATGCAAATTTGGGTTTATCTTAGATCTCAGTTGAACTGAGGCTTTTCAATGAAGTCAAATTTTTCTTTTGCTGAAACAAAAGCCTTACAGTCCAATGACTAATGAAAGTAAATCATTTCGCCATGTTCAAGTTTTTATCTATCAATTATTTGAATCATTTGAAGCAGAAAAAAAGAAAATTAACATTCTGAGAGATATTACAAGGAGTGTAGTCTAAAAAGCTCATTTCTGAATCAATCTGAATTAGAATCCCCATGCCAACTTTGTAACCTTAAGTTATCTACACTGCCTAAAGTTGTGCTTCCTTTCGTATAAAATGAAAATTTCAATATCTACCTAACAGTATTGTTGTAACGATTGAGATGATGTATAAAGAAGCCTAAAAATTAGCAAAAATAAATATTAACAGTATTATAGCAAAGTTTTTGCTACTGCTGCTTCTACTACTATTGATATGAATCTAAGCTTTAAAAAAAAAGGTGCCTACATTTTTTGTGCTTTAGTATACTGATACTATGTCCAAAAGATAAAGTCTCTAAATAATTTCTGGGGAATAAATATCAAATGTAAGTTATTTGAAGCATAAATATTTTGAAGCTAAAATAGTACCTTTAGGATCTGTTGCTACTAAATTATTCCTTTTCCCCCATTTGAATGAATCCAGTTTCCCTTTATTTCAATCCACAGGTAATAATTTCCCGATATACCACAGTTACCTCACCTTCCACCCTTCAAGATATCTTAAGCTTTAATTAAGAATCAGGGTTGTTGCGAAAGCTATATTAAAACTTAAAATTTGAGTATGTTTTTCACTGGACTATGTTATTCTTCAAAACTCAGAGTATATTTTCTTGATGCCTTATATACTTTCAGACTATGAAAGAACAAAGTAAAATAGGAGAAAGTTACTTAAGTAAGGGAATTTCTTTTCAAAACAAATTTCAGAAATATTTTTAATGATAACTAAATCAAAAGGTGAACTCAGTTTTTCAGTGACAGATAATGAAGAACCTAATGTGCTGATTCTTCTTGTTAATGGTCATTATCTTCATCTTCTACACAATTTTTAAATTGCTTTTCTTGTGCCAGTCAACATTTTTTTCTGGCTTTTAATTTTAGCACCATTCAATTGTTTGGCCACCAAATACATATTTGATCATCTGAAAGCTCTAAAATCATTCACATATTCCTTACATAGACTTCTACAACATGGATTGTCTCTTTTGAGCTCAATTTTATCCACTGCTGGTTTATCATCATCACAATTTGTAATGATGAAGACCCTACCAACACTCAATTATATCAGGAATAGTTCCATGGATTTGAAAAAAATTATTCCTGGTTCACAATGTTAAAGACTGAAATACTTGATACCCAGAAATAATGAGGCCACAACTTAAACATTTATATTAGTTTTCCAGAACACAACCAACAGATTGAGGTTTCTGGGTTCTGGAAAAAATTTTCTAACTCTATTGAACAACCATGGATTCATTCAATTATCAGTAGCATTGCCTCAAAACAATATAGTCCTTCTCATGGGCTACTCAGGAACCAGGTCTTGACTTCAGGATTCCAGATTAAGTGCTGATCTTTCCCCCCTAAAATAGAATAGTCTTTTCATTGTATTTTAAATTATTCTAGTAGACGATGCTAATTTTCTTCAACGATTTTTCTCTCACTATGACAGGTAAGCTAACCAATGGCAGAAGTGGCACATTGTTTAGTGCAAAGCAGTTCCCAAAACTGTTAAACCAGCTATGGCTGGCTATATATTTCTTTTCAGTCAGTGTCTGCCCTCCTTTAGTTAGAGATTTGAACAGTTTGTAGAAGCTGAAGCTTGTTGTCTTATGGTAATTTGATCTCTAGTTTTACCTACAGTTCATATCTCCCAGTCAACAGTTTCATGCTATTTTTCTCTTAAATAAAGTTTTATTACAAACTTGAATTATCAATTTAACGGTTATTGGTCCCTTTGGCAAATTTCTTTCTTCAAGCCTTCGAGCCCCAAATTGGTTGTGGCCATATGTATATGCCCTATTGGAGAGGAAATTACTATCTCTTAAATCTCACGAAGCTAGTTTTTGTTTTTGTTTTTGTTTTTGTTTTTAATCTTCAGCTTTTATAGCAGTTCATGTTCCCCTTGGGTTGCCAAAAGGTAAAGATGTTGACTCATAATTTAGAATCAAGTTGGGTGAAAAATATTTTAAGTAACAGAATCTTCCACAGAGAGGTGCTCACATTACAAGAGAAACATGAGAACTGAAGGCTGTGGGGGAAAGAACAGATTTATGTTTCCCATCTCATCCTCACTCCAAGGCATACACTCATTGAAGAACATGAAAGATAGAATTTCTGGCACTGTGCAAATACAACTATGATATAACTCTATTATATTGTCCTAGAAAAGGAGAAAATGTTAAGGGGAGACATCTTTGCCTTAATACAAAGTAGGTGATTTGTATCATCAGTGTTTTACTAAAATGAAAACCACTGAGCTATTATTTCAGTTTCTTGATCGAGGGAACTTTTTATGCCATCGGTTGACTTTTTTTTTTTCTTTTTTTTTTTTTGCCCTGGCAGTGATCATTTATTCTCATAGAGCAGAAAGTCACATACGTTATTAAGTTTAGAAAACAACAGCAACACTGTACAATGTACAGTGTACCTTGACATAACAATAGTGATAGTTTTGTATACCACCACTATTGGTATTGGGAATTTCTTACATTTTTAAATTCTGGACCTATGAGGTGGGCCCTAGTGGATATATGGGTCATGCTAGATAAATTTAGCTTTGTCATAAACATGAAAATGGCATGATCTTATATGCATCTGTTGAGCAGTATTGTGATTGTTACCCGTTAGCTCTGTTTTTCTAACATATCGCTCATTTCCATTATTCTCATAGACCTAGAGCTGGAATCACCCTGGGGAATGACCTCTCATAGACTAACCTAAACAAAACTACTAAGTTTCTGGAGAAACAAATAAGATACTCCTACTTTTCTAGCTATGTTGTCTTTATATAATGATTTGCTATCACAATAAATTGAAATACAATGCTAATCATAAATATGACTAAGAATAATGCTGATCTTCAGAACTATTCCTACATCTTTCACGAAAATGCTACCATGGGCAGCCTCAGCCTAGTAAGCTCCATTTTTGTCTAGATCTCTGCTGTTTCTCTCTAAAAGATTGAAACATTAAGTATCCACTTTATAATTCCCAACATACTAATGTTCATTCCCTGACTACTTACCAGAGTTAGTAGGTACCGTTAAGAAAAAGTTAGCCAGCCCTCTACCATAAAGCTAGACTATCTCACTTCTTAAAAGCAAATCCTGGATTTAAAAAATGTGGTATATATACACAATGGAATATTATGCAGCCATAAAGAAGGACAAACATATGGACTTCGCAGCAACTTGGATGGATTTAGAGTCTATCATACTCAGTGATCTATCACAGAAACAAAGAACAGAGTTCCATATGTTTTCCCTCATAAACAGACCTTAAACAATTATTATATACTATAAGAAAGGGATTGGCAGTAGTGGGAAACTGTCAGTGGAGGGGGGAAGTGGGATTGGTAGTTGAGGGAAACTGCTAGGGGAGGGAGGGGCATACCTCATCAATAAGGTCCCTGCATAATCAACATTTGTATACCTAACCCTGAAATGTACCACACATCTTTATAATAAAAAAAGAATAAATAAATAAATTAGTTAAATAAAAAAGAGGAAAAAAAAAAACAAGACAAAAAGAAAACAAAAAACTCCTGAGATCACCTTTTTGATTCCAACTGCAAGTTGCTTGGGTTAATTAGGTAGTACCTGCCTTGGAAAAAGAAACTTTTTGTGGACTGAAAATGATTATTTTTGCCAAAGACTCCTGAAAACAATTTATTGAGGCCAAGTTCTAAAAACATCATTTTTCTGCCTAACTCAATTTACCATATATAAAATACATATAAAAGTCTATGTACTTTTTTTTGCCCAGAAAAAATAAAAGTATTCTAACTCCATATCCTGCTTTGAAAGAAGGATACTATTTTTCAGAATAAACACCTCTCTGAAATGAATGCAAACAACTTTCTATATGTAGAGTCAATTGCATCAGGAAATTTGAATTCACCTCATGATATATGTAGCGTTATATAGTAGAGATAATGCAATTTTATGGTAAATATAATTAAAGTAAAATTAATCAAAATTATCCCTGCCATTTCTTAAGATTCAAAGTCCCAGCAAGGAGTATTTTATTAACTGGGAGCCTGGGTCAAGTAACCATGCATTTTGCTGCCAAGAACCGGGAAACAAAATGCCTGCCTCCTTTCTCCTTCTACAGTAGAAGGTGCAGCCCTACCCCTGACAAAGATTCTAAAATGAGACATAAACCTCAAATAGAAAGCTTCTTCAGATACCATGAAGTCAAAAGCAACAATCTTTCCCCTAGATATTTAGACAACATTTTGGACTTTAAAAAAAATTCTCTTTCACTTCAAAAATTACCTTACTAAAGCTTCAAGCCACTCTAAGCAGTGGATATCATTGATAAGGTATGAGGAGAATGAGACTCTAAAAAGGTGAGTCAGTGGCTGCAGGTCACACAGTTAGCAAAAAACAGGTCTTAGCTGTCAATTGCAGCATTCCATGGAAGGTTAATGGGCATGCCTCAAGAATGTGCACTATCAAACTGGTTTTGGAAACACAATATAGTTACCACTCTTTTGAAGAGTCACAATTTAGCATATATAATTCAGTGTTTCCAGATTTCTTTAACTACTAACCCCTTTTCCTCTGAATATTTTCCAGAAGTATTGCTCTGTGAAATCAATTTTAGAAAATCTGCTCTTATTTGAGAAATTATATTTACAAATCTCTTATTAACTACTGTAAACCAGTTCATTTCAGTCAAGTAATTGACCTAGTAGAACTGGGTGTTTTTTATCACTGAATAGTCAATGAATATAAGAGAGGACCCCAAGACAATCAGAATTATCATTTGGAGGGAAGGTCCCTTGGAGTATAGGCTTCCCCCGCTAGTTATGTGTTCTAGGAACTCATCAGCATCAGTGTACCAGCTAGTGCTGTTATGAGAGGATATGTTTGGCTTCAGTGAATTTTTTGGCAGATTCTTTGAACGTTTTTGCCCATTTCATGATGGGTGATTTATGAAAGCACTGCCTACACTACACTAAGCGTTCAGCAGTTTTTGACTGAACACAGCGTGACCCTTGGTCCTCACCTTCCTATTCACCTGATCTCGCCCCAAAACATTTTTTTGTTTCTCTGGATGAAAAAAAATCCCTTAAAGGAAAGCGTTTTGCAGATGTGAAAGAGGTGAAACATAAAATGGTAGAAACACTAAAAGACATCAAAATGGATAAGTTCAAAAACTGTTTTGAGTAGTGGAAAAAGCATCTCGGTAGGTGCATTACGTCATATGAAGAATATTTGAAGTTGACTGAAGTTTAAACATGTAAAACTAAATACACAATTATTTATCAATAAATTCCAAGATGCGGGGGACCCTCATATTATATGACTAATTCAAGTAGTGTTTTCATGGTTTTCCCTAGATATATTTTCCAGCAAATTCTGAAAACATTTCACAGTGTTTTCTTGTATTAAGACTTACTAGGCTAGGAGCAGTGATCCATGCCGTAATCTAGCATTTCAGGAAGGCAAGGCAGGAGTACCCCTGAGGCTAGGAGTTCAAAGTTACAGTGAGCTAGGATTGTGCCACTGCACTCCAGCCTTGGCAACTAAGTTAGTTGTCAAAAATAAATAGATAAACAAATCTGAAAAATCAATAAATAATTTAAAAATTAGAAAATAAAATAATAGGATAATTTTTTAAATAAATGAATAATAATTTTTTTAAAGAATTGCTGACCCAAATATTGTCATTTATTATAAGAATTTTATTTTATTTTTCACTGAATGGACATGCCACCGTTTATTAATTTATTGGTTTAATTAGTTTAAACTGAATTAGTCTCGTTTTAAATTTCTTTCTTTTTTGGTTCTTTCTAGTTTTTACTGTTAAAGATAATTATTTTATTTTATTTTTACATTTTTTATTTTAAAGATGTGGGGTACAATTCAGGGTTAGGTATACAAATGTTCATCATGCAGGTACCCTTGTCAATGAGGTGTGCCCTCCCTCCCCCAACCAATTCCCTCCACTGCCAATCCCACCTCCCCCCACCCACCCAGCAGTTTACCACTACTACCAATCCTTTTCATATAGTATTACAATAATTGTTC